CCCAGTATAGTATGGGTCAGAGGTGACATTTGAACCCAAATCTTCGGATCTTCTTATATCTACTATATCATGCTTACTTATAATATGAACTACAGTATAAACAAAGGAAGCATGAACATTTGCCTCTGAGTTTTAATCTCACCAGACAGTGAAATGGACTCTTAAACTGAGCTTTGCTCTTTCAACAGCCCCTAACTACCTTGACATTCCTTCAAAAAACAAGTTGTTGTTGTTATAGCCTTAACAAACACAATCAATTTAATATACAAACAACAGAAAAGGGGACTTGTATATGAAATTATAAATCTATTATATACAGTTTTTAAAAATTTATGTGTATAACCTATATCAAATTGCTTACTGTCTTAGGGAGGAGGAAGGGGAGGGAGAGAGGGAGAAAATTTGGAACTCAAACTTTTATTTACAAATGAATGTTAAAAATTGTCTTTACATATAATTGGAAAAATTAAATACTATTTTTTTAAATGGGGGAAAAAAGTATATGTTACACTTATGGCATTGGCAACAAAACCATTCTGCTCATTTACGTCCCCTTCTGAACTTCCATCTGCCCTCTTCTGTGTATGTTTCACTGATTCTCTTTTCTTTCTTAACTTCTTTTTTGGTATCTCTATCACCACCCATCAATTCCTTTCCACAAATACACAAAGTCCTCCCTCATGCCAAAAAGGAATTGTCACAGACTTGATATTCTTAAATCATACCCAAAGTCATTTGTTTTTATATTTTCATACACTTTTCCCCATCCTAGATTTACTGCATCTTCTTCCTACAATAGCTAGAGTTAGCAATGGTGTCTTCAAACAAGTGCAGAGAGCAGCACTATATAGTTAGAAACTAAGGACTAAATCCTCCAAGCTTTGCTTGAACAGGGAGCCCTACCTTTTTTATCTCCTAGGACAAGGAGCTGTCCACACCAGGTTAATATCCTGCAGCAATAAACTCATTTTGACCACTCTGTCCCAGACTGAATCAGTTCAGCAAGAAAAATGCCTTCTATGTACAAGGCACTGCTGTTAGGTGCCAGGGAGAAAAATGTGCTAGTCCTTGTTCTCAAGGAACTTATATTCTACTGGAGGGACTTGTGTTGGATACAGATAATAGAACATAAGGTTTCTAGAGAGTGAAGGAAGAAAAATTTGAAGGAGGTAGCACTAACAACTGAGCAATGAGCAAAAGCTTGGTACACAGCAAAAAAACCTGAGCTGAGTCCCGAAGGAAGACAGTATTCTGAAACACAGAGAGAGATAAAGAGGGAGTACATTCATGACACAGGAAATAGCCAGCCTGTGCAAAAGCATGAAAATTCAGGGAATGGCAAGTAGTCCAATTTGGATAGAACATGGACTATGTGAAGAAGAAAAATAACTAGCATTTATATAAAGATTTAAAGTTTGCAAAGAGCTTTATATGTGTAATCTCATTTGATCCTCACAACAACCATATGAGGTTCAAGGGGAGTAATGTGAAAAACGTCACAAAGATGCTTGGATCTAGACAGTGTCTGGTCTTAACTTCTAGTCTGAGAAGTTTGTATTTTATCCTGGGTGAAATAGGGAGCCACTGAGTTTTTGAACTTGGGAATGGTCAGAGCCAATTGGCTCTTAAGATATATATTTTGTTGTAAATAGTGTTTTATTTTTTCCAATTACATATAAAAATAGTTTTCAACATTCATTTTTATAAGATTTTGAGTTTCAAATTTTTCTCCCTCCTTCTCTTCCCTCCCCAAGACAGCAAGCAATCTGATATAGGTTATACATGTGCAATCATGGAAACATATTTCCACATTAGTCATATTGTGTAAGAAGGATCAGAACAAAAGGGAAAAGCCACAAAAAACAAAAAATGAAAAAAAGTCAAAAGAGTATTCTTCAATCTGCATTCGGACTCCATGTTCTTTCTCTGGATGTGGATAGCATTGTCGATCATGAGTCTTTTGAAATTGTTAATATATAGTCTTTTAAAAAGGTATGCAGGACACACTTCAAAATTTAAGCTGCATTATAAACATTTTCTCCATCACTTTCTTAAGTCTAAACAATCAACAAAACAATACATCAAGCCCTGATTTGTAGAGTTTGCAGATTTCTGAGGTGTAGATGCTCACATAGAAACTTTAACAATCCTGGCTTCAGCACCCCACTCATCAGAAGTATGCCTTAAGAAGATGATCTTAGAAACTATGGAGGATGGGCTGGACAGGGGACAGGCAAGAAGCAGGGAAACCAATTAGGAGCCTATTCTAGAAGAGCTTCAAGGTGATGAGGGCCCTAACCTAGGATGGTGGCTATGGAGAGAAGTAGAAGGATACAAGAGAGCTTGCAGAGATCAAATCAACAGGACTAATAGAGTTCTTACTAGTAGCTATTTACATGTCAAAATGGTACTTGTTGGGTAGCAAAATGCCCATCAGTGTGGGATATTAGCAGATTTCCAGTAGTTTAAAAGTAAAGGGAGCTATCTGATGATGGGGGACATAAGAGTGGCAGAATGTCCACGGGCAGGGAGATTTCCCCAGAGTGAACTCACAATAATTCCCAGATTGATTTAGTAAAATTTAGAATCCCTACGGTTGTCATAGAAAGAGCAAGGATAAGAATTGGGAGCCCTGGGTTTAAGTCTTTTCTAGTTCTGATATTATATGGTTCAAAGATTCTGTAATTCAAACTCTCTCTTTCCCTCTTCCTCTTCCTGCTCCCCAAAGCCAATAGGTCAGTGAACACATAAGGTGACAGGATCATAAATAGTTATAGCAGCACTTGCCCCTAAGCCTTCACTGAGAAGCAGTTATGGTGTAGCAGTAAAAAGAAAAACGAACTTGTAATCAGAGACGTGGCTTTTGGATCCTGGTCAGCCCTGTCATTTAACCTAAGTCGCAATTTCCTCATCTGTAAAATGGGATTTTAATACTTGTACTTAACCACCCAGACAGGGTTGCTGTGAGGAAAAGCACCATGTCAATCTAAAAAGTTCTTTCTATGAATATGAAATATAATTCTTATGAAAACAGACTCCAAAAGGGAATAGAAAAGAGAAGCAGGATAAAATTTGGTTCTTTTATGGCCCAATGCCTGAATTTCATTTGGCTCAGGCTTATTTTCTTCTACACTCTGGATATATAGTCTTGTATTCATGTTCAAGCTAGCTTAATTGATGGGCTTGGCCCTTGACAATGACTCTCCATATGATTAGGAATCTAAGGCCCAGAGCAAATTGATTCCTGGCAGATAGCATTTTCCCACTGACTTCCAGTATAAAACTGAAGAGGTGTTTGCTAGGAAGGCTTTTGGCCCCTGAAGGCAATAAACTCACACTTAAGAAAGCTGATCAATTTACCGGCCTTATTCTCACCTCCAACCCCACCAATCCCCACCAATCCCCACCAATCTCCACCAATCCCCGCCAGCTCTCTGAGTCCCAGGTCATACTTCCATCCTTTAGCACAGGACACTGTGGCCTGGGAAATCGCTCACATTTCCAAGGCAAAGTCCCCTTGGTCTCTAGAGGCGGTTTCTATCTGTAGCCTTCTTTAAAGTCAACTCTATCTTGGAAACAAAGATTAGTCACAGATTACACGTGTATTTACCCTGCCACTTCCTGATTTAAAGTGTCTTGGTCCTTTCGTGGAAAGAGGGGCAAGAGCAATGGTCATGTTGGCTTTTTGTCTCATGGGATCTTTCCCTGGTCTCATTTTAGGTAATCTACTACCTGTCCAGATGCATTCCCCAGTAGTAAATAGAATAAACAAAAGCATGCCCAGGAAAGGAACCAGTCAGGTGCTAATTCCATTGAGGGGGGAGAGCCCTGCTATAAAGTAGGTCAGCAGCTTATTCCATTGCCCCACCCTACCCAAGACAGATGAGGACTTGTTTCATGAGGATTTGGGGCAGCTCCTCACTGGGGCCAGGGCAAGATGTGATCTAACAGGACTCACGTAATCCCCAGGTACACACCCATTGCTGTGTACATGTCACCTTCCTGTACTCCAAGGTGCTTGTAAGCTTATAAATTCAGAGAGTTCATAAAGCAAAGCAGGAGTAAACAAGGGGCTCCACTTGTCCCTTCCCCACAAAACAAGGACTGGGTCAGACTTACTCTGGGCAAACTAGACACCCTGGGCCCTCAGGACATTGCCCTTTTTTGGGGAAGCTCTTAGGGCACTGGACAAGTATTAGACGTGATATGGAAAGCTCATAAAAGTGGCACAAACAACTGAGCACTGGACTTGAAATTAGGAAGACCTGAGTTTAAATCTGGCCTCATACTTAATAGCTGTGTGACCCTGGACAAGTCACTTAACTTCTATCTGCCTCAATTTCCTCATATGTAGAATGGAAATAACTGCATCTACCTCCAAGGATTGTCATGAGGACCAAAGGAGATAATATTGGTAAACCATTTTGCAAACCTTAAAGCATTCTATATACATGTTAACTATTTTAGTGTTAATACTATAATTATGATATTCTGAAGTTCGGTGGACATGTTGTTTGCTGAAAGCAGGGTTAGCTCTAGAATTCACTTCCAAATACACCTTAACCCCCAGCTCTTTCACTCCATACCCCTTTAGAAACACCACAAAAGGGTCTTGTAGGACTCCAGGCTAGCTTTCTACAGATGAAGAGATCTGAGCCCAATCTGTTGGATCCAACACAGTGGGGATATCCAAAGTCAAGGAAGAATGAATTACAGTTATAGTTGTTGTCCCACTGAGAGTTAGAGTGCCCTTTATATGAAAGGAGCTGGGGCTAGCCTTATGAGAGTCTGGGATGACCGATGTTCTTGAGACTGCTTTGGACAAAGGAAGGTAACAAATGCTTATTAGGCACCTACTTACTGTGTGCTAGACACTGTACACTGTGCTAAGTGCTTTACAAATATTTCATTTGATTCTCACAACAAGACTGGTAGGTAGATGTTATCACTTCCAATTTATTGTGGAGGAAACTGACGCAGAGGTGAAGTGACTTGCCCAGGATCACACGGTTAATACATGTGTAAGACTGAATTTGAATTCAAGTCTTCGTGACTCCAGGCTGAGTCCTCTAGTCACTGTGATTTAGCTGCCCCTAGACTAGGGGTTCAAAACCTTTTTTGTGTGTCAATGGACCCATTTGGCAATGTAGTGAAGCCTATGGAGTCCTTCTTAGAATAATGTTTTTAAATGCATTTTAAAAAAAACTGAGATTAGAAAGGAAACCTATCAAAATATTTTTGTAAGAGTCCACAAACCTCAGATTAAGAACCACTGCTTTAGACAGAGCTAAGTAAGAGGCTACGTTTCCCCTCCCATGATTAACAAGGTGAATTTCCTCATCTTGGCTGGCCATGGCAGCCTAGATTGGTGGTATCAAACTCAAATAGAAACAGGAGCCGCTAAACCACATGGAGGGATCCCTGTGGGCTGCATGATGACTTAGAAAACCACATATTAACATTATCTATGTTCTATTGTATTTTTATTTATTTTGTTAAATATTTCCCAATTACATTATAACCTGGTTCCTGGGCTGGCCCCATGTGATTGACGCCTCTGATCTACATGAACGGCCCACTACTCTCTCTGGGAACAGCCACAGCCTCCTCTCCTATGCCCTTTCTATGCAGATCCTCTGTTCTAGTATACCAGTACTACTTAAGTTCCTGAAACACTTCTCATCTCTGTACTTTTACTAGTGCTGTTTCCTCTGCCTGGAATGTCTTGCTTCTCACCCACTGGTGTTTTTCAGTGACTCTCCATGACCCCATTTGAGATTTTCTTGGCAGAGATAATGGAGTGGTTTGTCATTTCCTTCTCCAGCTCATTTTACAGAAGAGGAAAGAGGCAAACAGGGTTAAGTGATTGACCCAAAGTCACACAGCTGGTGTCTGAGGCCAGATTTGAACTCAGGAAGATGAGTCTTCCTGACTCCAGGCCATTTTTCTATCCATTACACCATCCAGCTGCCCTTCTCATCCACACCCACTATCCTATTCTTCAAGGCTCAACTCAGAGGCCATCTCTTTCATGAAATCTTTCTTGATGCTCTCCCCCTCTTCTGAATTCCTCTAGGCCTGTCCCACACACATAGCACTGAGAAAAGAATCAGAGTTACAAGTGGCCCCTAAGGTCCTTTGGTCCAACCTTTCCCCAAACCAAGAACTCCTTCTACAGTACTCACAACCATGACTCACTCCCCCAAAAGCCCATTCTGATTTTGGATTCTGCTGTTCAGAAGTTTTCATTTCTTCATCCTTTGTTGAGCCTTGTGTTAAATCTGTCAGGGAGGGAAAGTCAAAGGAATAGACTCAAGGAAACCTTAGACCTCCATAGAAGGGGCTATACCTTTTTCATCAGTTCAGAAACTGGTATGCTTCTATAGATGCCACATCCTAGCAGAACAATTAGCATTTATATAGAGCTTTATTTCATTTGATCCTTACAATAACCCTGTGAGGAGGTGCTGTTATTATCCCCATTTGACCAAGGAAAAAATCGAGACTGAAAGAGATGAAGTGATTAGTCCATGGACACACTCAGATAGTGTCTGAAGCAGGATTCAAATTAAGATCTTCCTGACTTTAAATCCAGCTCCCACTACCCAAGTGGTGTCAAACTCAAATAGAAACAGGCCACTAAACTGTACAGAAGGGCCTTTGTGGGATGCATATTGACTTAGTTTTCAAAAGTAATATCTATTTTTATTTATTTTGTTAAATGTTTACCAATTACACTTTAATTTGGTTGGGACAGCATGAGCTTTATGTTTGTCTCCTGTGCACCATACCACCTACTTGCCTATGAAAGCAGTCTACCTCTCGGTACCGCCAGCTTGGTTTGGATGGCGTTTCTGGTGAGAATGAAGGGTTTCAGTAGACACCTGCTCTTTTAAGACACCCAAGATACTGATTAAGAATGTTTTGTCCCCACTAGACTACAAGCTTTGTTATGTTTTATTTCTCTTTGTATCCTCCTATGACTTTCAGCATGAGGTTTTGCAAACAGTAGGTGCTCAATAAAAGTCTGTTAGATGAATAAACTGCTCACAGCAGGGACACCTGCTGGAAGAAAGCAGTGTATTCCCAAAGACAGAAGAATGAAGGTGATTTCCCCCTAAGCCTGAAGTCTAGAAGTGAGTGGTATGTGGTTTTACATACAAGGAATTTGGTTCTTATTCACCTGGAAAGGATAGTACAAGTCCAAAACTATGAAACAGAGCATAGCCTAAGGCTAAAAAGAACAAATCCAGAACTGTGCTTATCCCACACGACCCTGGCCTTCTGAACCTGGCCATTTCATCTTACATCCCCAATTTGTTGTTGCTGTTCAGTTATTTCAGTTGTGTCTGACTCTGTGACCCCATTTGGGGTTTTCTTGGCAAAGATATTAGAGTGGTTTGCCATTTCCTTTTCCAGATCATTTTACAGATGAGGAAAGTGAGGCAAACAAGGTTAAGTGATTTGCCCAGGGTTATACACCTAGTAAGTGTCTGCAGCCAGATTTGAATTCAGAAAGATGAGTCTTCCTGACTCCAGACCTGGCACTCTATCTACTGCACCACTTAGCTGCTCCAGACAACCCCAATAGTTACCCTAATACTCTCCTCCAGGAGATGGTAAGGAAGTCCTCTTCAGGTATGTAATGACACAGGTAAGGTCTCAACCAAGATACCCAGGCTCTGAACGAAATGATTTGGACAACCCCAATCACAAGCAAATGAAGTTGGGACCTTAACAAGTAAAGGGTTGTAAAGAAAGCCCACTGTAAATATAAGAAGGTTTTTTTTTAAAATTTATTTACTATCACCATCATGAATGTGAATCTTGCTTACTAGCTGTGTCACACTGGTCAAGTCTAACAACCTTTCATCCTCAATGGCCTCAACTGTAAAATGAAGATAATAATAGCAACTACCTCCCAATGGTAGAAGGATAAAATGAGATTATATGCAAGGTGCTTTGCAAACCTTAAAGCACAATACAAATGCCAACATTCATTATTATTACCTAGAGAGATAAAAACATTTATTAAACACTTGTTATGTGAAAGGCGGGGGCAGCTAGGCAGCGCAGCAGATAGAGTATGGGGTCTGAAGTCAGGAAAATTCATCTTCCTGAGTTCAAATCTGACCTCAGATGCTTGTGACCCAGGGTAAGTCACTTCACCCAGTTTTCTTCAGTTCCTCATCTATAAAATGAGCCGAAGAAGGAAAACGCAAACTACTCCAGTATCTTTGCCAAGAAAACCCCAAATGGAGTCACAAAGAGTTGGACACAAGTGAACAACAAAAATGTGCCAGGCACAATGTTGCTAAGCTACGGGCATACAAATTCAAACAAGCAAAATAGTCCTTGCCCTCAAGCAGCTTACATTCTAATAGAAGACGACAGCACATAAGGGGGGTTTGAGGAGGGGAACACATAGCTGGAGATGCCCAGAAGTGCATACAGGCCTGAATAGAGCAAGAAAAGGTCAAAAATTTTGGCCCAAAGCTATCCTATCAAAGCCCAGGGTGGTTCCAGGGGCAGATGACCTTGTTATCATTATTAATTTTCATCTCATAGAGGAAGCAGGTCTGGGAAACCAGCAGGTAGTACTGCTTTTCTGCTGCCATTTGGGATTTTGGGCGTGGAACTAAAGGCCTGCTTGATCTGAGTCAAGTACTGTCAGAACACTGAGGGTAACTCTCCGAACTCAGCAAAGTAAGAGGGATTGCCAGTGCACACCCAAGGGTGTCAGCCCATAATTGGTCTCTAATGACCCAGTGAGCATCCCTGGCACCTGTCCATCTCAAAAGCACAGTCCACTTTGTATACTTTCATGCATGTAGGAAATGGATAATGGAAAAACAGCTTCATTTTACAGGTGAGAATAAGTGAGCTAAAATGCTAACTAAATGTAGCACAAGGTTTTGCAAACAGTAGGCACTCAATAAAGGTTGGTTAGTGAAATGAATTGCCTGGAGTAGGACCAACTGCAAGGATGAAGATAGCAGTGTATTCCCAATGGTGAGCTGCCCCTATGCCAGAAAGGTAACATTGACAGAGCAGTCCTTTGCCAGAGAGGAAGGTGAGGAGATGCAAGCCTCATTTCTTGACATTGCCTGACTTCTCTCTCAGTCATATGGGCTGGGTTTTATATCCCTGTAACAATGGTCTAGTTTCCTAGTTGATGGCCTGTCAGGTCAAAACCTTTTGAAAATCCCCTAATATTCCATCCTACAGGCTCGTTATCATCTGAAAGTGAAGGCATGCCAGGGTTTCATTCAAATGACAGGACAGAGAAAAATCCACAGAGTAGCTAGCTACACCTCAAATCCATCTTAGCCCTTACAGACTCCAACTCAACTCACTGTAGGATTATAAGCATCTGTCAGACAGTGAAAAGCCTCAATCCAATTCAACATTTTTAAAGTGCCTATTATGAGCAAGTTATATCCTTATATATAAATTCTCTATGATTACAAGCTATACTGGTAGAAGGAGTTACCTCATTCAAAATTCCTTATACCAGTGAAATTACAGTTATCATCGATGAATTCACTCTAACAGAAAGGTGTAAGACACTGTACTAGGCAGAGATTCTACCCCCAAACCCTTTAAAAAATAACCTGAAACAATGACTCTGCAGGGGAGAGATCTGGACACAGCCAAAGTAATTCCCTGTCCTGGTCTGGCTTATCCAGTTTGTAGATACAGAAGTTAAATGGAGGCAGTGGTTTACAGTGGAAAGAACAGTGGACTAGGAGTTATAAGAGCTGAATTTGTGGCCCAGCTGTGTGTTCCTGAGCAAGAGACTCAACAGAGGCCACTAGCTGGCCAAGTTAATAGAGTGCTGGGCCTGGACTCAGCAACACCCGACTCCCAATCTGGCCTCAGACACTTACTAGCTGTGTGACCTTGGGCAAGTCACTTAGCCTCAGCTTCCTCAACTGTAAAATGGGAATAACAATAATAATAATAATAGCACCTACCTTACAGTGTTGTTGTGAGGATCAAATGAGAT